CATAAAAAGGGATGAAAAGTTTTATTACTGGAGAGTAAAACTTTGTTAAACACAAAGATTCCAACAATAATTATAAATTGAACAAATTATTGAGAGATGAAAGAGAGGAAAAGGAGGAGGGGGGACTGAGGAGGGGACTGAGGAGGGAGAGGAGGGGGGCTGAGGAGGAGTGAGACTGAGAAGGAGAACTGAGGAGGAGGAATGAATAGGAGGAGGAGAAGAAGGACTCAAGAGGAGGAGGACCCAAGAGGAGGAGGACCCAGGAAAAGGCCCCATGAGGAGGACTGGGGAGGAGGAGGACCGATGAGGACTGATGAGGACTGATAAAGAGGACTAAGGACGAGGAGGAGGAGGAGGAGGAGAACGACTGAGGAGTGAGGAGGAGGACTGATGAGGAGAAGGAGGTGTATGAGGAGGATGAGGAGGAGAAAGGAGATAAAGGATGAGGATAAGGAGGACTGAGGAGGAGGACTGGTGAAGAGGACTGATGAGGAGGAGGACTGAGAAGGGGAGGACTTAGGAGGACTGAGGAGGGGAGGACTTAGGAGTAGAAGGAGGAAGAAGACTGAGGAGGATCAGGAGGACCCAGGAAGAGGAGGAAGAGGAGGAGGACTGAGGAGGAGAAGGAGGACCCAAGAGGAGGAACCAGGAAGAAGAGGAGGGGGAGGACTGAGAAGGAGGAGTGAGACTGAGAAGGAGAACTGAGGAGGAGGAATGAATAGGAGGAGGAGGAGAAGAAGGACTCAAGAGGAGGACTGAGGAGGAGGAGGAGGACTGAGGAGTAGAAGGAGGAAGAAGACTGAGGAGGATCAGGAGGACCCAGGAAGAGGAGGAAGAGGAGGAGGACTGAGGAGGAGAAGGAGGACCCAAGAGGAGGAACCAGGAAGAAGAGGAGGAGGAGGACTGAGAAGGAGGAGTGAGACTGAGAAGGAGAACTGAGGAGGAGGAATGAATAGGAGGAGGAGGAGAAGAAGGACTCGAGAGGAGGACTGAGGAGGAGGAGGACTAAGGAGAAGGATGAGGAGGAGGACCCAAGAGGAGGAGGACCCAAGAGGAGGAGGACCCAGGAGGAGGACCCAGGAAAAGGCCCCAAAAGGAGGACTGGGGAGGAGGAGGACTGATGAGGACTGATGAGGACTGATAAAGAGGACTAAGGACGAGGAGGAGGAGGAGGAGGAGGAGGAGGAGGAGAAGGAGTGAGCAGTGAGGAGGAGGACTGATGAGGAGGAGGTGTATGAGGAGGATGAGGAGGAGAAAGGAGATGAAGGAAGGAGATGAAGGATGAGGATAAGGAGGACTGAGGAGGAGGACTGGTGAAGAGGACTGATGAGGAGAATGTGTAGAAAGAATAGTCTACACATTTTTTAATAACATAAAAAGGGATGAAAAGTTTTATTACTGGAGAGTAAAACTTTGTTAAACACAAAGATTCTTGAGCACATTTTGAGTCAGACTCAAATGCGCTTAAAAACATTTTAGTATATAACAATAAATTATGTTAACAATAACACCAACAATAATTATAAATTGAACAAATTATTGAGAGATGAAAGAGAGGAAAAGGAGGAGGGGGGACTGAGGAGGGGGACTGAGGAGGGAGAGGAGGGGGGCTGAGGAGGAGTGAGACTGAGATGGAGAACTGAGGAGGAGGAATGAATAGGAGGAGGAGAAGAAGGACTCAAGAGGAGGAGGACCCAAGAGGAGGAGGACCCAGGAAAAGGCCCCATGAGGAGGACTGGGGAGGAGGAGGACCGATGAGGACTGATGAGGACTGATAAAGAGGACTAAGGACGAGGAGGAGGAGGAGGAGGAGGAGGAGGAGAAGGACTGAGGAGTGAGGAGGAGGACTGATGAGGAGAAGGAGGTGTATGAGGAGGATGAGGAGGAGAAAGGAGATAAAGGATGAGGATAAGGAGGACTGAGGAGGAAGACTGGTGAAGAGGACTGATGAGGAGGAGGACTGAGAAGGGGAGGACTTAGGAGGACTGAGGAGGGGAGGACTTAGGAGGAAGAGGAGGATTGAGCAGGAGGAGGACTGAGGAGTAGAAGGAGGAAGAAGACTGAGGAGGATCAGGAGGACCCAGGAAGAGGAGGAAGAGGAGGAGGACTGAGGAGGAGAAGGAGGACCCAAGAGGAGGAACCAGGAAGAAGAGGAGGAGGAGGACTGAAAAGGAGGAGTGAGACTGAGAAGGAGAACTGAGGAGGAGGAATGAATAGGAGGAGGAGGAGAAGAAGGACTCAAGATCAGAGGAGGACTGAGGAGGAGGAGGAGGACTGAGGAGTAGAAGGAGGAAGAAGACTGAGGAGGATCAGGAGGACCCAGGAAGAGGAGGAAGAGGAGGAGGACTGAGGAGGGGAAGGAGGACCCAAGAGGAGGAACCAGGAAGAAGAGGAGGAGGAGGACTGAGAAGGAGGACTGAGACTGAGAAGGAGGACTGATGAGGAGGAATGAATAGGAGGAGGAGGAGGGTGACTGGGGAAAGGATTGAGGAGGAGGAAGACTGAGGAGGAGGACCCAAGAGGAGGAGGACCCAGGAGGAGGACCCAGGAAAAGGCCCCAAAAGGAGGACTGGGGAGGAGGAGGACTGATGAGGACTGATGAGGACTGATAAAGAGGACTAAGGACGAGGAGGAGGAGGAGGAGGAGGAGGAGAAGGAGTGAGCAGTGAGGAGGAGGACTGATGAGGAGGAGGTGTATGAGGAGGATGAGGAGGAGAAAGGAGATGAAGGAAGGAGATGAAGGATGAGGATAAGGAGGACTGAGGAGGAGGACTGGTGAAGAGGACTGGTGAGGAGGAGGACTGAGAATGGGAGGACTTAGGAGGACTGAAGAGGGGAGGACTTAGGAGGAAGAGGAGGATTGAGGAGGAGGAGGACTGAGGAGTAGAAGGAGAAAGAAGACTGAGGAGGATCAGGAGGACCCAGGAGGAGGAGGAAGAGGAGGAGGACTGAGGAGGAGAAGGAGGACCCAGGAGGAGGAACCAGGAAGAAGAGGAGGAGGAGGACTGAGAAGGAGGACTGAGAAGGAGAAGGAGGACTGATGAGGAGGATGAGGATGAGGAGGATCAGGAGGGTGACTGGGGAAAGGATTGATGAGGAGGAAGACTGAGGAGGAGGAAGAGGAGAAGGACTGAGGAGGAGAAGGACTGAGGAGAAGGAAGTGGCCCCCCCCCCCCCCCCCCAGGAAGAGGAGGAGGACTGAGGAGGAGGACCCAGGAGGAGGAGGACACAGGAAAAGGCCCCAGGAGGAGGAGGATGACTTGGGAGGAGGAGGACTGATGAGGACTGATGAGGAGGAGAAGTAAGTGGATGAAGAGGATGAGGAGGACTGAGGAGGAGGACTGGTGAGCAGAAGGAGGAGGACCCAGGAGGAGAAGGAGGAGGAAGGAGGATAACTGAGGAGGAGGAGAAGGACTGAGGAGGAGAAGAGGGATCCAGGAGGAGAACCCAGGAGGAGGAGGAGGAGGATTGAGGAGGAGGACTAAGGAGAAGGAGGACTGATGAGGAGGATGAGGAGGAGAGTGACTGGGGAAAGGACTGAGAAGGACTGAGGAGGAGAATGCGGACTGAGGAGGAGGAACCAGGAAAAGGAGGAGGAGGACTGAAGAGGAGGACTGAGAAGGCGAAGGAGGACTGATGAGGAGGATGAGGATGAGGAGGAGGGTGACTGGGGGAGGACTGAGGAGGAGGGTGACTGGGGGAGGACTGAGGAATATGAGGAAGACTGAGGAGGAGAAGGACTGAGGAGGATGACTGAGGAGGAGGACTGAGGAGGAGGAGGAGGACTGAGAAGGAGGAGGACTGAGGAGGAGGAGGACTGAGGAGGAGGAGGAGGAAGAGGAGGAGGAGGAGGAGGAGGAGTGAATAGGAGGAGGAGGGGGACTGGGCAGGACTGAGGAGGAGGACTGAGGAAAAGGATGAGGAGGAGGACTGAGAAGGAGGACTGAGCTGAGGAGGAGAACTGAGGACTGAGGAGGAAGAGGAGGAGGATGAAGAGGAGGTGGACCCAAGAGGAGGAGGTCCCAGGAGGAGGACCCAGGAGGAGGACTCAGGAGGAGGAGGAGGATGACTGAGGAAGACTGAGGAGGAGGAGGAAGCATCTAAATATTATTTCCATTTTTGTTATTTTTTGTCCGTTTTTGTCCGCTCTATTTTTTGTCCGTTTTGATAATATAGGGTTCCGAACGGAAAAAACGGATAAAAAACAGGATCCCCCCTGAGGAGGAGGAGGAGAAGGATGACTGAGGAGGAGGATTGAGGAGGACTGAGAAGGAGGAGGACTGAGGAGTACTGAGGAGGATCGCTGAAGAGGATGGCTGAGGAGGATGGCTGAGGAGGATGACTGAGGAGGATGACTGAGAGGGAGGAGGAGGACTGAAAAGGAAGAGGAGAAAGAGGACCCAGGAGGAGGACTCAGGAGAAAGAGGAGGAGGAGGACTCAGAAGGAGGAATGAGGAGGACTCAGAAGGAGGAATGAGAAGGAGGAGAACTGAGGAGGAGGAGGAGGAGGACTGAATAGAAGGAGGAGGGGGACTGGGGGAGGACTGAGGAGGAGGAGTACTGACGAAAAGGATGAGGAGGAGGACTGAGGAGAAGGACTGAGGACTGAGGAGGAAGAGGAGGAGGATGAAGAGGAGGAGGAGGACCCAGGAGGAGGAGGACTGAGGAGGATGATGAGGACTGCAGAGGAGGAGGACTGAGGAGGACTGAGGAGGACTGAGGAGGATGGCTGAGGACGATGGCTGAGGAGGAGGAGGAGGAGAAGGTGGAAGAGGAGGAGGAGGAGGAGGAGGAGGAAGCATCTAAATGTTATTTCAATTTTTGTTATTTTTTGTCCGTTTTTGTCCGTTTTTGTCCGCTTTATTTTTTGTCCGTTTTGAAAATATAGCTGCCAAACGGACAAAAACGGACAAAAAAACATGAGCCCCCCCCCCCCCCCCCCCCATGTAATGTATTAGTTTCTAACTACAGATTAGTTAACGGTTACTATGGTTACTAACCCATTTCAAGTATGTGACTAGTGAGGATCCATGGCATGCTCATCTCGATAGGAAACTGTATCTTATCCTCCAGCTGCAGGTAGAACTCCCGGTACCAGAACTGAGGCAAGTCCGAACAGTCGCTCAGCACTGTCCCAAAGTTCAGCAGGTCTTTGTAGAAATATGACCTGACCAGGTATGTAGAGTTACTAATGTTGTTACCATGGTTACTAATGTTGTTACCATGGTTACTAATGTTGTTACCATGGTTACTAATGTTGTAACCATGGTTACTAATGTTGTTACCATGGTTACTAATGTTGTAACCATGGTTACTAATGTTGTTACCATGGTTACCTGACCAGGTATGTAGAGTTACTAATGTTGTTACCATGGTTACTAATGTTGTAACCATGGTTACTAATGTTGTTACCATGGTTACCTGACCAGGTATGTAGAGTTACTAATGTTGTTACCATGGTTACCTGACCAGGTATGTAGAGTTACTAATGTTGTAACCATGGTTACTAATGTTGTTACCATGGTTACTAATGTTGTAACCATGGTTACTAATGTTGTTACCATGGTTACCTGACCAGGTATGTAGAGTTACTAATGTTGTTACCATGGTTACTAATGTTGTAACCATGGTTACTAATGTTGTTACCATGGTTACCTGACCAGGTATGTAGAGTTACTAATGTTGTTACCATGGTTACCTGACCAGGTATGTAGAGTTACTAATGTTGTAACCATGGTTACTAATGTTGTTACCATGGTTACTAATGTTGTTACCATGGTTACTAATGTTGTTACCATGGTTACTAATGTTGTTACCATGGTTACTAATGTTGTTACCATGGTTACTAATGTTGTTACCATGGTTACTAATGTTGTTACCATGGTTACTAATGTTGTTACCATGGTTACTAATGTTGTTACCATGGTTACTAATGTTGTTACCATGGTTACCTGACCAGGAATGTAGAGTTACTAATGTTGTAACCATGGTTACCTGACCAGGTATGTAGAGTTACTAATGTTGTTACCATGGTTACCTGACCAGGTATGTAGAGTTACTAATGTTGTAACCATGGTTACTAATGTTGTTACCATGGTTACTAATGTTGTTACCATGGTTACTAATGTTGTTACCATGGTTACCTGACCAGGTATGTAGAGTTACTAATGTTGTTACCATGGTTACCTGACCAGGTATGTAGAGTTACTAATGTTGTAACCATGGTTACTAATGTTGTTACCATGGTTACTAATGTTGTTACCATGGTTACTAATGTTGTTACCATGGTTACTAATGTTGTTACCATGGTTACTAATGTTGTTACCATGGTTACTAATGTTGTTACCATGGTTACTAATGTTGTTACCATGGTTACTAATGTTGTTACCATGGTTACTAATGTTGTTACCATGGTTACTAATGTTGTAACCATGGTTACTAATGTTGTTACCATGGTTACTAATGTTGTTACCATGGTTACTAATGTTGTTACCATGGTTACTAATGTTGTTACCATGGTTACTAATGTTGTTACCATGGTTACTAATGTTGTTACCATGGTTACTAATGTTGTTACCATGGTTACTAATGTTGTTACCATGGTTACTAATGTTGTTACCATGGTTACTAATGTTGTTACCATGGTTACTAATGTTGTAGAGTTACAAGATGTGTGTGTGTGAGTCGCGAGTATAGAGTTAACGAGTAGGGGTATCCAATATTTGTACTATGAAAGATTTTAGGAATCAAAAAGTGAGCGTCCAGTATTTGTTGTCTTGTCTTCCATAAAGTCTTGTACCCCATACCTAGCTAACGAAAAGAAAATTATGAAAATCGTGGGAAGAATTTCACTATTAGAAGAATGTCGTGCAAAGAATGTCACTATTTAGTATTTCCCCACAAACCTAGAATAGAACTTGTCCAGTTCAGTGTAATGCTGAGTGTCCATCTCCTTCTTCATAGTCTTCTTGTTAGCAGCCTTGTTGGAGATAAGACTCTCTACCATCGTCCTCACCTGAGTTTTAAACATTAGTAACCATGGTAACAACTCTTTTAATACTTTCAACTACAAATAATTTGAGATCATGAATACGATGTTGTTACATTGAAACGAAGAACACTTCCTTATCCTGATAACCAGGAACACCTAACTTATCCTGATAACCAGGAAGTGAGTGAGGAACACAACACATTTTAATAACCAGGAAGTGAGTGAGGAACACTACACATTTTAATAACCAGGAAGTGAGTGAGGAACACTACACATTTTAATAACCAGGAAGTGAGTGAGGAACACTACACATTTTAATAACCAGGAAGTGAGTGAGGAACACTACACATTTTAATAACCAGGAAGTGAGTGAGGAAACTACACATTTTAATAACCAGGAAGTGAGTGAGGAACACCTAACTTATCACAATAACCAGGAAGTGAGTGAGTGAGGAACACTACACATTTTGCGCCAGAACTATTACAACAATGCGACTAATAAATACTATATCTATTATATACAATACTAATAAATACTGCCCCGAGATAGTCCTCACCATGTACAACTGTGTGCTCGACAGCCCACATGCTCTGTTCTTAATCCGGACTTTGTGCCCGGTCTTAGGGTCCTTTTCTCCCTTTATAGCGGGGTCGTTAGGGTCCTCCTTGTTGTTTATCCAGTCAGCACATGTTTCCCTAATGGCCGTCACCACCCTGAAACACATTGGTTTATAAAGGAGTAACAACATGAAGAGATGAAGGATATACCGTCACCACCCTGGCAAATGCCAATATTTGTCAAAAATGTGTCAGAAGTGCTGGAAAACCTCGTATTGTATAGTGGTCTTTAAGCTCTTTTATCAGAAAACGGCAGAATAAATAATTGCACCCCCAAATTTGTGTTGAAATGTAAACTATGAAACAGCGATGTTTAACTCGGTTGAACTTACGTTCTGATTATCTGTTTCTTCTTCTTGACAGAGAACCGTAGCAAGTCTCTGAGTCGCCGCTGGACAAAGTCCTGGACCTCAAGGTGCACACAGCGGGCTATACCCTCGCTAAACACTACCTGAGATAGTCAATAGTTAATAGTTAATAGTTAATAGTACTATGTTTACAGTAAACTACAATGTAGATGTACTGAAGGGGTATCCTAAGAAGATTCTTCATCTTTTAGCAGGCACCCCTCCTCATCTAGTTTCCTACCATTCGGCTGAGTAGACCGAGGTGATCGCATAGATCCAATGGATACTTAGCTACTCCCTAGAGTGAGTGACACTGAGAATCATAAGTTTAGCTCATCCAATTAGGGGTTTAATGATAGTTGGGCGTGAGATAAGAATTATCAGTATTAACAAACCTACATTACAACATTAGAACATTAGTAACCAGGGTAACAACATGAGTAACCATGGTACAACATGAGTAACCATGGTAACAACATTAGTAACCAGGGTAACAACATTAGTAACCAGGGTAACAACATTAGTAACCATGGTAACAACATTAGTAACCAGGGTAACAACATGAGTAACCATGGTACAACATGAGTAACCATGGTACAACATTAGTAACCATGGTACAACATTAGTAACCATGGTAACAACATTAATAACCATGGTAACAACATTAATAACCATGGTACAACATTAGTAACCATGGTAACAACATTAGTAACCATGGTAACAACATTAATAACCATGGTAACAACATTAGTAACCATGGTAACAACATTAGTAACCATGGTAACAACATTAATAACCATGGTAACAACATTAGTAACCATGGTAACAACATTAGTAACCATGGTAACAACATTAGTAACCATGGTAACAACATTAATAACCATGGTAACAACATTAATAACCATGGTACAACATTAGTAACCATGGTAACAACATTAGTAACCATGGTACAACAGAAGTAACCATGGTAACAACATTAATAACCATGGTAACAACATTAGTAACCATGGTAACAACATTAGTGACCATGGTAACAACATTAGTAACCAGGGTAACAACATGAGTAACCAGGGTAACAACATTAATAACCATGGTACAACATTAGTAACCATGGTAACAACATGATTAACCATGGTAACAACATGATTAACCATGGTAACAACATTAGTAACCATGGTAACAACATTAATAACCATGGTAACAACATTAGTAACCATGGTAACAACATTAGTAACCATGGTAACAACATTATTTAATGATAGTTGGAGCGTGAGTTAACAAACCTCCATTCGCTTCATGAGGGCAGCTGTTGACTTAATAATAGAGATAACTTCTACAAACGCAGACTTCTCCTCTGGCGTGTAGTTGTATTTCGTAGCCTGGAAATTGTAAAAGCACATTATTTTATGTAATTATTGTTTTGGAGTAAAACATTATACAGTAATTAGACTCTAAGAAAAATGAATAATCCAAATTTTATCTTTTTATATAAACAAAGCTATGAATGAGATATGAACAAACAAAGCTATGAATGAGATATGAACAAACAAAGCTATGAATGAGATATGAACAAACAAAGCTATGAATGAGATATGAACAAACAAAGCTATGAATGAGATATGAACAAACAAAGCTATGAATGAGATATGAACAAACAAAGCTATGAATGAGATATGAACAAACAAAGCTATAAATGAAATATGAACAAACAAAGCTATGAATGAGATATGAACAAACAAAGCTATGAATGAGATATGAACAAACAAATCTATGAATGAGATATGAACAAACAAAGCTATGAATGAGATATGAACAAACAAAGCTATGAATGAGATATAAAGTAGTGGTAACTAGTGGTAACTAGTGGTAACTAGTGGTAACCATGGTAACATACCCGTTCGTAGTGAGCGATATCAAAGTCCTTTTCCTCGATGGGTCCCTCAGATTCTTCATTCAGAAGATTGTTTTTTAGTTGCACTTCCAGTTCTCGCTTGTCACGGGGGTTGGACAGTTTCCAAACGTACTGAAATTGTGAAATCATAAAAATAATACCGCATTATGATTTGATAAACAAGTTGTCTGAAATCGTTAAAATCAATGTAATTGTACATCTACTTGTGTTGTCATGGTAACATTGTAAATCTACTTGTGTTGTCATGGTAACATTGTAAATCTACTTGTGTTGTCATGGTAACATTGTAAATCTACTTGTGTTGTCATGGTAACATTGTAAATCTACTTGTGTTGTCATGGTAACATTGTACATCTACTTGTGTTGTCATGTTAACATTGTACATCTACTTGTGTTGTCATGGTAACATTGTACATCTACTTGCGTTGTCATGGTAACATTGTATATTGTACATCTACTTGTGTTGTCATGGTAACATTGTACATCTACTTGTGTTATCATGGTAACATTGTACATCTACTTGTGTTGTCATGGTAACATTGTACATCTACTTGTGTTATCATGGTAACATTGTACATCTACTTGTGTTGTCATGGTAACATTGTACATCTACTTGTGTTGTCATGGTAACATTGTACATCTACTTGCGTTGTCATGGTAACATTGTGTATTGTACATCTACTTGTGTTGTCATGGTAACATTGTACATCTACTTGTGTTGTCATGGTAACATTGTACATCTACTTGTGTTGTCATGGTAACATTGTACATCTACTTGTGTTGTCATGGTAACACTGTACATCTACTTGTGTTGTCATGGTAACATTGTACATCTACTTGCATCTACTTGTGTTGTCATGGTAACTTTGTACATCTACTTGCATCTACTTGTGTTGTCATGGTAACATTGTACATCTACTTGTGTTGTCATGGTAACATTGTACATCTACTTGTGTTGTCATGGTAACATTGTACATCTACTTGCATCTACTTGTGTTGTCATGGTAACATTGTACATCTACTTGCACGTCTTCCATCCTTCAACCACTAGTTCAGCTCTTTGGTGATTACATTTTAAACAAATGTCTTGGCAAAATGCCAAAATAGGCAAACTAGGCAAAATGCCAAAACGTACCAGTTCCATGAGAGTAGCACTGCACTCGCACAGGAACTGAATGCCGCGCTTCGCCAGCTCGAACACCTCCATAAACTGAGGGGCGGAAGTGTTTTGTGTAACTCCCTCTCCTTCCGAGATATTGAACTGGTTCTTGTACTGAAATTGTGGGGATTTGTTGTGGGGACTATTATTTTTAGGGGCGAGTTGAACATTAACGTTAAGTCCCCTTTAGCAGTAACCATGGTAACAACCCCCCTTAGCAGTAACCATGGTAACAACCCCCCTTAGCAGTAACCATGGTAACAACCCCTCTTAGCAGTAACCATGGTAACAACCCCCCTTAGCAGTAACCATGGTAACAACCCCCCCTTAGAAGTAACCATGGTAACAATGCAACCCCCCTTAGCAGTAACCATGGTAACAACCCCCCTTAGCAGTAACCATGGTAACAACCCCCTTAGCAGTAACCATGGTAACAACCCCCCTTAGAAGTAACCATGGTAACAATGCAACCCCCCTTAGCAGTAACCATGGTAACAACCCCCCTTAGCAGTAACCATGGTAACAACCCCCGTCCCCCCTTAGCAGTTCGTTTTAATCATAGAAATTAAAAATATTATATAAAGTGTTATTGAAAGTGTTATTGAGAGTGTTATTGAAAGTGTTATTGAAAGTGTTATTGAAAGTGTTATTGAAAGTGTTATTGAAAGTGTTATTGAGAGTAGAGATCCAAAATTTACCGCGTAAAACAGACTACTAGTTAACTACTGAATGTTAATTACTACTGAATGTTAATTACTACTGAATGTTAATTACCGATCCGTTGATGTTCATAAGTTCAGCTGTTATCCTCTCGTATTCCTGTCTCATTATTTGCAACTTGTTTACTATATTAAACTGTGTTGTTGATACCTGTAAAATGTAAAATGTAAAATTAATTAGTTTTCATTTCAGAGACTCTGAAGATTGTACAAATAAACGGAAACATTATATATATTTAGATCTTTATTATAGCTGTTATATAATATATATAATAATACTTGGGTTCTTGAGGCATATAATTAAATGATAATTTATAGTAACAGGAAACATTGCATGTCTTCTGACTTAGTACTTTGTTATTTGGTAGTAACCATTTCTCACAAGATCACAACAAGACAAAACATTCCACCAACCTTGACTACGTCCTTGTTAACACAGGTCCATTTACCCGGGTCCAACTCGTAGCTTGTGAATCTCTGGTCGCGTGGGCACAGGTACACGTTTATGTGCATGTCTCCGTACAGGGGGACCACAGGTAGAGTCTGAAAAGTATTTTTATCCGTTTTTTCTACTTGTTCGTATTCATCACTCCAGCAGCTCTATCACAAATCAAAAAGTGTTGAAATTGATCTCGGACACCCCCCAAATCGCAGATCTACCTTACATAATTCGGGTAGCTCAATCACGCCGGTTATTCCCTCGTTATGTGGCATTGGCAAAGTGAGGATCCCCTCACTTTGAGATACATAAACACAGGGTAGATATTTTCCTTTGCTGTTTTTTTTTGGGAATATACTTAATTCATGTATTACTACAAAGTTATATAATAAATTATAAAATCTTTATGGACGCGAAACTACTGTTGTTTATTATAAAGGTCACACTTGAATTGCCGAACTATATTTGTACATATTTTGTATTTTTACAAACATATCGAAATTCTTTTCTGTCAAAACAAATTGTTTCCTAACTATTTAGTAGAATAGTATAGATGTTCGCTGTTCGCTTTGCGGATCAATAAATGGTGAATATTATCTTTAAATCAAAGAAACAAGAGACTCACCTTGAAAAGACGATCAAATCTTTGAATACTCAGACTTCTATCGTTCATTTTTAGCAGTCTTGAAGATGGCCCCTTTTTCTCACCCCTACTTTTATTTGCTGGTCCGTCGATCAGGAATAAACCGAATGCTACTACCTTGTTGAAAACGGGAGGGGTCAAAAACACATGATCTCACAATGTAAACAAATGCAAGAGATGGCGCGCGCGCGTGCAACTTTCAATCCACACACTTCTTCAACACATAAATGTCTTCGCGCGTTACACAAACTACCAAGAAAATGTGGTAAGAATGTGCCAATCGGATCTGGTAAGTAGATTTCAACTTTTCAGAACACGGGTCATTATGAAATAACCCATCGTACATACTACCCATACCTTTAACAGCATGTGCTTTTCCTTGGGTGTCATGTAGCATTTCATCTCGAATCTTCTTGCGGCTGTATTTACTATTTCTGCTAATACTTCCTCAAAGTTTTCGATCGTAGAAAGTTTCGTGAACAGTGCATCCATAATAACCTGCAACAAATCATTGTCATTATCTATTAATAGATAGAAATAACGAGATTACAGAAGAGGGGGGTGGGGCCTAGTGATATTCAAAATAGTAAATCATTTACACACATTACATAGATGTACAATTTAAATTTCAGCCGGGTATATATAATTCTATACAGCGGGGCTTCCTATCAACTGTCATCGCCACCTACTCAACATTTGTATACCTATACATTGTACATTTGTGCAGAATTCGATGGTATTGAGTTTTGGGATCAAATTGCAGTTATTAACCAATCAGCGTCCAGCATCACTGTCACGTGTCAAGACAAACACAGTTCACCTCCCAAACAGTATGAACTTGTAACTATGGTAACTAGTGGTAACTAGTGGTAACTAGTGGTAACTAGTGGTAACTAGTGGTAACTAGTGGTAACTAGTGAAGTAGTGGTAACTAGTGGTAACTAGTGGAGTAATGGTAACTAGTGGAGTAGTGGTAACTAGTGGTAACTAGTGGTAACTAGGGGAGTAGTGGTAACTAGTGGTAACTAGTGGTAACTAGGGGAGTAGTGGTAACTAGTGGTAACTAGTGGTAACTAGTGGTAACTAGGGGAGTAGTGGTAACTAGTGGTAACTAGTGGAGTAGTGGTAACTATGGTAACTAGTGGTAACTAGTGGTAACGAGTGGTAACCAGTGGTAACTAGTGGTAACTAGTGGTAACTAGGGGAGTAGTGGTAACTAGTGGTAACTAGTGGTAACTAGGGGAGTAGTGGTAACTAGTGGTAACTAGTGGAGTAGTGGTAACTATGGTAACTAGTGGTAACTAGTGGTAACGAGTGGTAACGAGTGGTAACTAGTGGTAACTAGTGGTAACTAGTGGTAACTAGTGGTAACTAGTGGTAACTAGTGGTAACTAGTGGTAACTAGTGGTAACTAGTGGAGTAGTGGTAACTTTGGTTACTAGTGGTAACTATGGTAACTAGTGGTAACTAGTGGTAACTAGTGGTAATTAGTGGTAACTAGTGGTAACTAGTGGAGTAGTGGTAACTATGGTAACTAGTGGTAACTAGTGGTAACTAGTGGTAATTAGTAGTAACTAGACTTACCCTGCGTCCAGCAAGGAACATGGTTAGTTGTTGATACAACATGTTCCTATCTTCGTTCATCCCTTGCTTCCCCAGCAGTGAGTCAATCCTGAAGTTATATACATTATACACACTACATTATACACAATCCTGAAGTTATATACATTATACACACTACATTATACACAATCCTGAAGTTATATACATTATACACACTACACACACTACACTATACACAATCCTGAAGTTATTATATACATTATACACACTACACACACTACACTATACACAATCCTGAAGTTATGTATGTTATTCTAAGGTTTCATTGTATTTAAAACTAAAATTGCAATATTGCAGTTAAAGTTAGCATGAAACTTGCAAATCCCGTATAGTCCACCTCACCATGTATCCTTCATGACATTATGCTGTAATACAGTAATTGCTACATTAACATTATTACTACTAGTAGGAAGATAAAATAACATGTATTATAAGTGACAGTGTTTACAGTACACACTACATTAAACATACTATACACACTACACACTGTTTACACTATACATACTGTTTACACTGTAAACACTATATACACTATAATACACACTGTTTACACTGTAAACACTGTACATTATACATTGCTATTTTAGATCGGCTAATGTTTATCATTGTTTATGCCACACTTGTGACGAGCAAACTAGCCCACAATTAAAGTGATTAATTTAAGTGTAACAGTGTAACTAGTGTAACTAGTAACAGTGTAACCAGTGTAACTAGTAACAGTGTAACCAGTGTAACTAGTAACAGTGTAACCAGTGTAACTAGTGTAACTAGTGTAACAGTGTAACTAGTGTAACTAGTAACAGTGTAACTAGTGTAACCAGTGTAACTAGTGTAACTAGTGTAACTAGTGACAGTGTTATTTGACTGTAACTAGTGACAGTGTAACTAGCAACAGTGTAACTAGTAACAGTGTAACAGTGTAACAGTGTAACAGTGTTATTTGACTGTAACAGGTGTAACTAGTGTAACTAGTAACAGTGTAACAGTGTTATTTGACTGTAACAGGTGTAACTAGTGTAACTAGTAACAGTGTAACAGTGTTATTTGACTGTAACAGGTGTAACTAGTGTAACTAGTAACAGTGTAACAGTGTTATTTGACTGTAACAGGTGTAACTAGTGTAACTAGTAACAGTGTAACAGTGTTATTTGACTGTAACAGGTGTAACTAGTGTAACTAGTAACAGTGTAACAGTGTTATTTGACTGTAACTAGTGTAACTAGTGTAACTAGTAACAGTGTAACAGTGTTATTTGACTGTAACTAGTGTAACTAGTAACAGTGTAACCAGTGTAACTAGTAACAGTGTTATTTGACTGTAACAGTGTAACTAGTAACAGTGTAACAGTGTAACTAGTAACAGTGTTATTTGACTGTAACAGTGTAACTAGTAACAGTGTAACAGTGTTATTTGACTGTAACACCCACCTCTTGTAGTGGGTAAAGTCGTTGGATATAGAAGCTTTAATATCCTTCAGTTGATCCAGCACAGCAAACATATTGATAAGCTGACCCAGCGTAACAAGATGTGTTTCTGATATAAAGTCCTGCGGAGTGTTACAGTTAAATGCTGTGTTAAAACGGCGCAAATATATCATATTTAGATGTACATTGTGCAATCTGATTATAAACGTGAAACTTTACGATTTCATGAACTTTAATTAATACCCGCTAATTAATAACCGCTAATTAATAACCGCTAATTAATACCCGCTAATTAATAACCGCTAATTAATAACCGCTAATTAATACCCGACCTTTATTTTTTGAGGATGACAAAGGTTAGTAATCTCCTGGCAGAACTTGTCTTTAGCACGATCGAAGAAGTAGTAAAACTCAATAAGTTTACCAATCTCACGTTCCATAACCTGTATAGTCTTCTCGTATATTTCCATTCTCCGGGGATCGCTATCATCCTTCACCTGTAACGGTACTGTGTTAATGGGGGGGGGGGGGGGTGCTATCATCCTTCACCTGTAACGGTACTGTGTTAAGGGGGGGGGGGGGGGGGGGGGGGTGCTATCATCCTTCACCTGTAACGGTACTGTGTTAAGGGGGGGGGGGGGGTGCTATCATCCTTCACCTGTAACGGTACTGTGTTAATGGGGGGCGGGGGTGCTATCATCCTTCACCTGTAACGGTACTGTGTTAAGGGGGGGGGGGGGGGGGGGGGGGGGGGGGTGCTATCATCCTTCACTGTAACGGTACTGTGTTACGGGGGGGGGGGGGGGGGGGGGGGGTGCTATCATCCTTCACCTGTAACGGTACTGTGTTAAGGGGGGGGGGGGTGCTATCATCCTTCACCTGTAACGGTACTGTGTTAATGAGGGCGGGGGGGGGGGGTGCTATCATCCTTCACCTGTAACGGTACTGTGTTAATGAGGGCGGGGGGGGGGTGCTATCATCCTTCACCTGTAACGGTACTGTGTTAAATTGTTAATGTGGGGGGTGCTATATTAATGGTTGTGTTAATGTGACATGCTAGGGGAATTTACTAAACATTATGTTTTAGTGGCCTCTTTCAGACTAATTCTGGTTTTAAAGATCCCGCGGTTATTCTAAGGATAAGGCACCTATTTGCCAGTCATTATATTCTACTATAGTTATGGGTTGAGGCAATGATATGCCTCCTACGGGAACGTAGTTAACAACATGCTGCTTGACACTACCCCCCCCCCCCCCCACACTAACAATCCCCACCTCTTTATTTGCTAGTTGCTACATAACTTAATAAACCTACTTTAACTACCACACCATCAGTCAGCTACATTTATTCAATAGCTAGTGGCCTAGTGACAGATGTACATGTTACTAGTGACAGATGGACATGTTACTAGTGACAGATGGACATGTTACTCAGGCCCTGTCACAATATGTAACTTTATTGCGGTTATGTTAGCACGCCTGCTAATTATCTAGCTTCCGTATGATCAGTTGACTAGTACAGTATTTACATAAGTTACTAGAGACAGTTGTACAGTGTGGTTGACTAAAAACGTAAACTCAAATACAAACCTGACAATTTATCTTATCTACAGAATGATGGAAAGTGAGTGTAATAATAATTAACTTTAATTAATTAATTAATAACAGTTACTTGTAACACATGGATTATATTATGTTTACAATACATGGACATTATTTTGAGTTTCTGACAAGAGACTGAATACGATTATCTTATTACCGACGAGGCACTTGGTAATAAGATCATAACAGCTTACACAACTATACAGTAGTAACATAATTATACAGTAAATATAATCCAATTATTACAAGGAATGTATTGGTTACAGATAACGGAGAACTAGGAATAGCATTATACGGTGAACTAGAGTTGTGAACTTTCATTAATATTCATAACAAATAACTCTAGAAAAAGGTACGACTAACCGATGGAATAGCTTTAGATATGCATCTCCAAGTGTACAACATAACAGCATGTTTCTCTCCCTCCTCCAGAAGCAGGTTCTGAAGAGAATTATAATTAAGAGAAGGTATTCATTTAACTTATAATTCTGGTTACATCTTCCTATGCTATAAGGGAACACACTTTATTTACAAAGTAAAAGTAATTAATTAATTAATTAGTAAGCAAATTGCAATAATAAATAAAACAATTAATAATCCAAATCTTACCAAATCAGATTGAACAGTTGCTTCTTCGAGATACTTTGAGAAGCCCGTAACGAACGCCTCCCTGTCCTCAAAGTTAGTGTCCAGATTAACAGTGTAAGTAACTGAAGCTGGAAAAGCTTCTATGAAGGGCTGCTCATCTGTCAGCCTCTTGCCAAGTCGCTCCAGCTGGTTGACATTTTTCAGAGCTTCGTCGATGGCCACATTAAAATCCATTGCTCTGGGTGTGTGGAAGAACTATCTAATAAGCTTGCCACTTTGAGTTAACCATTCTGAGAGTAAATAATATTTAATTCAATAAAATAGAAATTTTCATGTTGTTAAAAATACTATTTCAAATTATCTGGGTTTAATTATGTACTGCACTAGGACAGCTAAATTTTAAAATTGGTCTGTAGTCGTAATTGAATACATTAATCGAACTACAGTGAAGTATAACACTAAGATCTATATTTTATTAATCTAAATTTGATAACCAACATTGAACAAATCTTAATGATACAATACAATATTTAAAGTAAGCTTATGTAGAAAATATAAATTAACAGAAGAAAATAACAAACAAATGTCATAACACTACATTATGCCGACACTGTGGTGCTTATAATGCAATAAAGTCCCCTTTAGCCCACAGTTTATCTTCTATATAGTCACTTTCCATCCTTCTCAATGAGGAAATGTGCAGCCAAGCTCACAACCTGTGTTCAAATTAACACCCTCAGTTCATGTACTCTATAAAGCACACTATAAGAAAAAAAAACAACAATTTAATTGACATATGACAGTGATTATGAGGTTTTATTGGTCAATAGTTGAAGCTGATCTGTTAATTTTAATATCCCATGGCAAATAATATGCCTCGCCACTCCAACAGAATTCACATCTATCAATTAAACAATCCAGCATGTAGAACACATTTTTCTTTTTTTCAGGGGTGATTTACAAGTTTACTATGTCGTCTTTCGACTCCATTTTTCAGCATTAAATATGAGCAATTAGATATATGTGTGTTCCTCCTGATGATGTCTGGTACCACAGACTTCTGCAGTGCTAATGTCTCTATAATTACAGACACTCATCCATTTCACCATGAGTCTTAGTGTGCTTTCTTTAACTACTATGATTTTAGTTTACAATGTTGTTAAAGAGCAAGTAGCAGCTTAGTGACATTAAGATCTCGCTTCCTATCCCCTACTGCCATACTCATATCAAGGGTGCCTTCCAGTGGCATAACGTTGCCTGTTGGCGCCCTCGCTGAAAACTAATGTGTTGGCTCGCTTTGTTGGCCAGTATCAACCCCATTTTTTTGGACTTTGATCGCTTATAATAATAATAATAATAAATTAATGTTATTTTTATACAGCACCAAAAGGTTAAATAATTTAAATTTAACCCTTATGCTCAGCTGTAAATGATACCTAATACGACCTAAGCGGTATACAAATAAATATATATTATTATTATTATTACTTACGTCGCTAATTTGCACTCTAAATAACCCTGCAGGATCACAAATTGCTTCATGATAGAGAACTGCCTAACAGCGAACCGCATGATTTACATGAAACTAATTCCCCTTAAAAAAGACATCTCACAGCAAGTAGACCAAATTGGCTCTAGCTTGTGAACGGTGCATCAACTACCCGACGAAACGGTGGGTTGGGAGTCCCCCCCCCCCCCCCCCCCCCCCCCCCCCCCCCCCCGGATTATTTCGTCCGTAAAATTGTATAAAACAGTAAAATATCATTAAATGTATATAATAAACAAATTTAGGAGACCTCAAAGTTCGTCTTCTGAGGGATGAGGTCTTCACGCAGTGAACGAGAACGCAGTGAACGAGAACATTCCAACTAACTTTGAGTCTGAAAAACCTAAAGAAATATCAAAGATAGTGAACCAGGCTTTCCAGTCCTTCGCTGATGTTACTGCAAATAGTCAGAAGAAAGTTATGGAAGAAATGAGCTTACAGCAAGCTTCACAAAGTGTTGTCAGTAAAGTTCAGACAAAGATGCACACTGATGCATATGAGCAAAATTTAAGGAAGCTCAATCTGTGTGTTTTGAATGTACCAGAGAGCAAGAAAGCTAACTCCAAGCTACGCCAGGAAGAGGACTCGAATTTCTGCAAGGAGACACTAAAGATTGAAAAAAGTGACTTTATCAGTTGCCATCGTGCAGGTAAAGTGGATCCAGGTAAGCCAGACTCCTGTCGGCCATTGATCATCCAGACAGCTGATGAGGAGTCAGTTAACTATTATTCCAACCATGGCAAGGGCTGGAAAGAGTCATCATACTGGATAAATTTGGATCTCTGCAGAGCAGACCGAGAGATCCGTTTTTTAGCCAGAGAAGAGAGGAAGAAGAGGCGGGAAGAAGCAGAGAAGGAAAAGACAGAGAAGAAGGTGGAGAAGAAGTAAATAGCAGTGATAAAGAATGTAGTCAGCCCATGAATATTTTTTATACTAATGCTAATGGACTATTTAATAAAATTGATGAACTAAAATGTATTCTATCAGTTTATAAATCCATTCATGTAATCTGCATTACAGAAACTCATTTTAATAGTGATATTTTAGATGCTGAAATTTTTATTGAAGGTTTTAGTATGTTTAGAAAAGACAGAGATTTTAAAATCGATAACTCCACTAGCAACATAAGTGGAGGTGGAGGTTCTATTATTTATATTAAAAACAGTTGTAATGCTTCATTAGTGAGCTCATTTTTAAAAGCACCAGACTCTTTAGCTATTAATGTCAATACCTCTGGTGGATTGATTAGTATTTGTTGTATTTATAGGTCTACTTCTTTGAATTTAAAGCAGAATAATATGTTATTATCTTGCATCAAGAACATATCTAGTGAAAAGAATGTTTTTGAAACCATTATCATTGGAGATTTTAACCTACCTAATGTATCTTGGGAAACTGGTAGTGTAAATAGTGGTATTTCTAGTAAGAATCAGGTTTTAATGATTCAACAAAAGTATATTGATTTATTTAACGACAGTGGTTTGACGTGGTACTTTACTAACGAAACAACCAGAAGACGGCTTGTGAAAGATACTCTCCAGGAGAGTCTTCTTGATCAGGTTTTGTATACAAATGATGCTCTTGTCAACGGTTGTAAGATCGTTTCTCCGCTTGGCAAAAGTGATCATGTTGGGATACTAGTCGAACTGGTTGTTTCGCCCAATACTAACAAAAGTCCCAAACAAAAGATTTTAAAGCCTATTTGGGGTAAGATTTCCTCAGAAGAGTTATTTAACTTTAGTATGAATAATATTGACTGGGATTATAGTTGTACAAATAATGTTCAAGATATGTGGGTTGAACTACATGGTAAATTGGAGTCTGTTGCTGCAGCTGTCCCAGCTGCTTCGGTTTATCTCGACAACAGACCTGTCAAGTTGCCATGGAGTACAACTTCACTTAAAAGAATGAGGAAGAACAAGGATAAAGCATGGGCTGAATTTGATATTAATCCTTCGGATATTAACTTTAGCTGTGCAAATAGCAAGCAGCATATTTTTGAGGTGGCAGAAATTAAAGCTAAAGTAAATTATGAAAAGAAGATTACATCTAATTTAAAACAGAATTGTAAATCTTTTTACTCGTATTTGCGTAATAAACGTCAAGTTAAGTCAAGTGTTGTTTCTTTAGATAGAGGAGATGGTACACGCACAGATAGTTCATCTGAGTCAGCTGAGGTACTTGCTAGTGCCTTTAGTTCTGTGTTTGTGCGTGAACCACCTGGCCCTCTTCCCCAAAATGAGAGTTATAACAAAGAGGTTATTGATGATATGGAAATTAGCAGTTCTGATATCAAGAAGCAGCTTTTAAAGCTTAATGTTTTTAAGAGTTCTGGTCCGGATGGCGTTCATCCAAAGTTGTTGAAATCCTTAGCATACGATGAAAAGTTTGTTGAAGCTGTAACTAAATTATTTATTAAGTGTTCAGAAACAGGAGTCCTGCCTGACATTTGGAAGACAGCATCTGTTGTAGCATTATTCAAAAAGGGTGTTAAATCTGATCCCTTAAATTATAGACCTGTCTCATTAACTTGTATTTTGTGCAAAGTGTATGAAAAGTTGGTGAGGGCACATTTATTAACATTTTTAGAAGAACGAATTTCAAAGCATCAGCATGGATTTGTGAAGGGTAAATCTTGTCTATCTAATCTCTTAGAGACATTTAATAATATTCTTGATATTTTAGACGAAGGTGCTCCTGTCGATCTTTTGTATTTTGACTTTAGTAAGGCCTTTGACACAGTCCCCCACTTTAGACTTCTATCTAAATTGGAGGGGTTTGGGGTCAAGGGAAAAGTTTTAGATGTTATAAAAGACTTTCTGACAGACAGAACCATGAGGGTTTGTGTAGAAGGACAATGGTCTGAGGTGAAACACGTGTTATCTGGTGTTCCCCAGGGGTCAGTATTGGGTCCTTTGCTATTTATTCTTTATATAAACGATTTACCTGACAATGTTAAAAATAAGATTAAATTATTTGCAGATGATCTCAAGTTAGTTTGTAATGCAGCTAACCATAGAAGTGTATCTGATGATATTTTAGAACTCGAAATTTGGGAGAGTATTTGGCACTTAAACTTCAATCCTGCCAAGTGTAAAGTAGTCCATATTAATCTGAATAATAATCCTAACTCGAATTATATTGTAAATGGAGTAGAACTAGAAGTATCTGCACAGGAAAAAGATTTGGGGGTTATTACCCATAGCTCCTTGCTTTGGAATGAACAGATAAAAGCATGTATTTCCCGATTGATCCCGATTGAAGCTTTCTATCATGAAGGCTCAACACCAACCTGACAATATTAACTGGCAGGACTTAAACTTCAACACTTTCCTATGAAAAGACCCCCATTTATATTTATATATTTTAGATTTTACACCTGTCACTCACATCATATATGCACCACAAAAGAAAAAAGATTCATTCAATCATTACATTATACACTCACTCCACCACACATGCACACAAAACATTAAAGCAGGTTACACGCGGGTGTAACGTTCACTTTATCCGAAGGGAAAAATAATACTTTACGTAACGCGCGATTTACGTCTTGGTAGCTAAATTATTCAAGTGCTATTTGTCAGAGCGACACAAATGCGCGCGCGAGCGCTTGCGCGGCTCACCTATCCAACACTCTTGTTTACATCGTATCAGGCAATGGTTCAGTTTAATTATGGTAAGGGCACAGCCTGTCAAAAACCCTTTTCGCATGATCCGTCGACACCGCCTGAAGGTGAATGC